ATGTATAACTGGTCGCAGTCCTCCTGGCACTTAACAAACTCTCAGACTGAAGAAGTCTCTTGGAGGAGAGACGAAACGTTTCATTAGAGAAGAACCCGTCCAGAAGACCTATACAATTTTTTTCTTTTTTCAAGGGAGGTCTTYATTTAACATACATGTTTTTGAACCAAAAGATGAATAACTCACTGATGGGATGATCATACAACAGGTGTTCGATGTCGGCGATGTCATCTCCTGAACTCTGTTTCTGAYGCTTCACGGGCTTTAATGTTTCCTCTAAAAGAAATCTCAGTCATGTTTTCATCACTTCAGGGAATATTAAATTACTTTATACTCACTTCTTGAAGAAAAATATAAATGCATCTTCTATAACAACTAGGCTTACTATTAACTTTGCTAATTTGTTCAAATTAAGGCTTTTTTTCTGTTACCAATCTGTCCCTAAAATATAAAATAAAATGAGTTACTATAAAAACATGACTGTAATTTAATTACTCGATTGTTTCTATGAACAACACTTACAGGAAACACACACATTATTACAATAATAAATGATTAAATTTAAAGAAGGTTAAAGTGCAAACATAAATGTACAGTACCAGTCTTAAAAATACAGCATTTACACAATAATTATTATCAACAATCATGTTGTTATCCACAATCCAAGTCATTTTAAGTCAATTTTAACTCGTGAAATAGTTGAAAAAACAAAATAAAGTTGATCTATCACTACACCGAGTGCATCACAAAAGGCTGCAAGTAGCTCAAAGAATAAAAAAAGACTYTCATAATAAACATGAGGAGCTGGGTTTAAAACTCACCCTCCATCTCAGCCAGAACTTCGAGTTCGTCGGCGAACTGCTCGTCGAAGTGGTCCTCGATCCCAAACATTTCGTCATATTCGTCCATTTTAACTTGAGCTACTTTACTCGACGTATGAAAACGACTACAAGCGCTGGTTGCATGAATATTTTTCACTTAGCTTTGGTAGCAGCGACGTTTGCTAAATAAATTCCCGGCAATTTTTTTGTTATGAAGTTTTACTTCCGGGTAATGCAAGTCATCTGTCATCTGATTGGCTATTAAATATTTACTTCATTTCCCATCATGCAGTGCAACTGGACGGTCCAAAAAGTTAAGTCAATACTAAAAATAAAATAAAATAAAATAAAATAAAATAAAAACTAAATAATTATATATAGAATTTGTTTGCTCTGTGGCCATAATCCTCCTCCTTATAAGTTTTCCTGAAGTTATATTTAAAAAATCCTAAATTTTAATTAATGATCACTACACACAGTAGTTAAAATAATTTAAAATTTAAAATAATTTAAAATTTAAAATAATTTCCTAATTTATAATTTAAACTGATTCAGCTTCGTCACTGTGAAGGTAATTCGACTAAACAACCACTAAGTGGTGCTGTTATCAGCTTGTAGCATCATAGGTAACCTGACACGGATGTATAAACAAATTCATGTGCCTTCGTTTCTATTGTTTTTTATGCTTAAAATTATTGAAAATAATTTATTTTATTTGCATACATTTGTACCTAACACAYTGTGACAGATACTTGTAGTAGACAGCAAGTGGATGCAAACCAGGTAAGAAACAAATATTCCTGTGTTTCATCCCACTTTGCGTTTTGTTTTTGCTTTTTTTTTTTGTCAGGAGAAAATGTTGATGTAAAGTTTTAAGTTTGAAAAATTACTACAGGTTAGAGTTTATCTAGAAGCCCTATGCAGTCTGTCTCAAATTACACAAATGCATTTATCATCCATCCTTTAAAATTTTTTAACATCACTGATTTTTTTCTGCAGAACTAATGCAAGTTTTCAGATGAAGTACAAAAAAAATAGTTTCAAAAAGGACTTTCTGCATTTTTGAATTTGTAGTTAATTTTTGAAAAACTATTTAAAATAACTTCAGTTATGAGCTCTTTTCATATTCAAACAATAACCATTATGTGTATTTATTTGTCTTTGATATGCTTTGATATGCTGTCTGACCCTCCATGTATGGAGTGTTTTTGTGCTGAAGGAAAAAGTGAACAGGGTGGAGTTTGTATTTGATTATTTGGATAGTTTGCTTTTTACARCATTGTTTTTGTAGATGGAGTCCATAGATGGACGATGAGTCCGGATTATTTTCCAGTGTTTTGATGACTCCCCTGTTGAGCTTTCCTCTCTGCCTGTATTGTTGTTGTAGCACACAGAGAGAGGTGAGGACGCTCTCTACCAGTACTGTCCAGTCCATCCAAACATATCAAATGTTTTCTTAACAGGCAGGATTCACTTTAATGGCAATGTTTTAAACACGCGATCGGTTAGCGCTCTGAATGTGTGTTGGGAATAACTCTCAGCTACTACCACATTTCATTTTATWTCAGTATCTGTAAAACAGCACAAATTCTTGTGTTGGCTGTGGCATCCATACAATAAATACTGACTTTCATTACTGAGTTTCATTAAAATCAGTTCAGTGGTTCACAYGATATTTTACTAACACAACAGACAGGTGAAAAACATTATCTGTCACCGTCTATCTTTTAGTGGTCAGCAAATATAAAACATTTTGTTATCTAATTCTATTTTAGTCACTAATAAAGTTACATAATTTTTTTTTCTTTGTGACAGTTTTTTTCTTCTCCCAGTGAATTAGATTTTGTGCAGGTGTCTAATAAAGTTACATAAATTTATTTTTTGTGACAATTTTTTTCTTCTCCCAGTGAATTTGATTTTGTGCAGGTGTTTATTTTAATGATAAAAACCTGTTTTGCTTGATTTAAACATTGATCTTACACAATTCAAATTTTCATCTAATGTTTCTCACAATGCTTCATAATGTGRCCTTTGAGCTTTGACATGTTTTGTTGAGTGTGTGTGTGTGTTTGTGTGTTTGTGTGAGAGAGATCAAGATTAATGATGATGAGTGTGACGTCAGGGCGTCTCCATCACCGCCATCTGCTCCTTGTAGTAGACAAACACAGGAGCAGTGGTTTGTGTGTGACACAGGGTTAATTTCACATCGGGGAGCATGAAAGCACACTTACTCAACTCTTAACATCCTCGTCTTGGACTTCTTGTCCCTTTGTGTTGTTTTACCTCTGAAACATGTACAGGAAGTCTTGTTCAGAGGTCAGGAGCGTGTTGTCTCTGAGTTCGCTTTCACATCACATCTACCCTTTTTAAATTCTCCTAAAACATTTCCCTTTCGTTTATAGTACTGTTTGCAGCAATTTTCTTGCATAATAATGTGCATTACTACTTTTTTTTTTTAGTTATTTGGCAAACGCGTGAAAGTTCACAATGAAAAAGACGGAATAAATACACATTTATGGTTCTGAAAGAAAAATAATAAATGTACCTAAAAAGTCTATTTTAGTCAGGATTCAAATTAAAATCGATTAGGCTTTTAATGTGACTTCTAAAACACTAGGTAACAGTTTGTTTTTAATTAAAGACTGACTAATAAGTTTTTTAAAAGGTTATATAATTTTCCATGTTCTTGTTTGATTTGATTTTGCATTKATTTTATATTTAATTTTGCTGTACTGGTATCAGATTTAGCTGTAAGAAGGACAAACAAAAATTAATAAACACCTTGCAAAAGCACACTTCACAAGTTATAGCTGATATTTTATTGACAGTGCATGAGCTCAAAACTAAAGTAAAAAACATCCTTTAAATACTTTAAATGGACATCGTTCAAACAGCACAATACTCAACTCCTCTTATCATTTTCTATATGTACTTTTGTAATTTGTTATATTATTAAAAATTGTGGGGAAATGCTATAAATCCACAAAATAAAACAAAATTAAAAAAACACCAATTTCTTTTTCCCCTGCAGTTCACACTCAATCACATAACGACTTCTTAATTACAGACTAGATGTTTCGGTTGTTTTGACTTTTTTTATTTTTAATTTGCCCCCTAAAAGTTGCATTACTTGTAATAAAAACAACATTCTTAATCTGAATATATAACAGCTCTTTTTCTCTGACCATATTAGTTTAGCCGAAGACGTTTGTGTGTTTAGACACTAATGATGATAATCTTGTCATCACCAATGATTGACCATGTGTGTGTGTGTGTGTGTCAGTGTGGACTCTGGCCCACAGGAGCATCTGTTGTACTCCAGTGCTCAGCCGTCCTGTGCACTCCATTATCCCCCAGCATAGAGTGCGTGTCAGCGCTGCAGGTGCCCCATTAAGGTGATGTGTTTAATCATCAATTCAACTCAGGAACTGCCCTCTTCTCGCCCGCATCACACTCTCCTCTCAGGCTTTACAGAAACACGTCGCCCAGCCCAGAGCTCACTTTTCACCAGCAGATACAGCTTGGGGTTTGACCGTGTGTGTGTGTGTGTGTGTTTCAGATCAGCAGAAGGCAATTTAAGGACTAAAATTATTTCTTTTAAAGGTGGTTGTATTTGCGAGAGCACGAGTCTTAAAACCATTAAACGCACCTCTCATCTTTTTATGTGTGAACCTTGAGGATGTCCAACTCCACCGTCAACTTCTACAGCGTGCCGCAGGCCGTCAGCTTCTCGGACATCATTGTCATCGCCACATATTTCCTTCTGAACCTCGCAGTAGGCATCTGGGTAAGCCTCGAACATCTGCCCATATGCAATGAAATGTGCGTGCATGCTAATGAATAACCAGATGTGCTCTCTGTCAGTCTTCATGCAGAGTGAGCAGGAACACTCTGAGTGGGTATTTCTTGGCTGGCAGAGACATGGCCTGGTGGCTGGTGAGTCTCTGCAAAGCTTAATCAGCATTCCTTGTGAGCCACATTTTCTTTTCTTGAATTAACAAAAAACAAAAAACTTACAGGTGGTACTTAATTATAGTCACACTGAAAGTAGAGAAACAATGGAACGAGGCAACAACTGTTTTCCAGAAAGTGGATAAAAAAATGATGTTATTAAACTGGGACACAATTGAAATTGTTTTAAAACAAATGTAATAATTAGCAAATCACTTTTTTTCATGTTAAAACTGTAAGTTGACCAGTTGTTGAAACAGAAAAAAATAATATGCTTATGTTGTAAAGATCATCCCATTTAGTCTCAGTCTTTCTTCAGTAACGACAGGGTGAAGCCAACACGTTTTACAGTGAGCTAAAATATACCTTAAGAGCAAACTTTATCACCCGCTGCCATAAAAAGCAGGGGACAGGGCGTGCATGGGCGTAATTTGCAGGGGGGCCGGGGGGTCTTATGACCCCCCCACAATATTTTGATCCAGTCAATATAAACCCCTAATAAAAGAACAGCATTTTTTGCTCTAACACAATAGAAATGAACTGGTTTAGTACACAGCACTTCTTGCTGTCTTTAGGTAACTTTGACCTGCTTTCAAAATTTTTGATGTCACATGTACGTTTAATCACAATTGCTGAAAATGGCATGCAGGGTTTTAGTCTGCTTTTGTCACATTATGGTTGTATTTGTTGAATTATATGTTGTAATTTTTCCTATCCAAATTAACCAGGTAAATACGTACACTTGGCAAATTGAGAAATGTAGGTATGTCATAAATTACGTAAAATATTTGTTACTCTTGAAAAAAATGTGGGGGAAGGTATGTCTTTTCTTAATTATTGAACTGACGTGGAACAGAAAAGTTGCAGAGTAAATACAAAGAAAACAGGAAAGTAAATCAGAGTACAAGCATTATAATGTATTTTAAACACAAAATCAAATCAATTTTAACATAAAGCGCTTTAAAACAGCAGCTGCTGACACAAAGTGCTGTACATAAAGGGCCAAAAGCAATAAACAAATYGACACTAAAACACTAAAAAACAATAAAAAAGCACAAAAATGTTCTCAACTGAAWTAAATGATTCAATAAATAAATAAACAGGCAGAGAGGATAACACCCCAACAGTAGACCTAAAGTTAGGCTCTTGAGGTTGTGTGTGCATAATATATCTCATGAACTGCTGAATGAAATTCACTGAAACTCCATTAGGTTACTTTACTGATCCCAAGGCTGAGCAATTCAGGATATGTTAATTAACATGTTAACTAAATGGATTTTATTACTTGACATTTGACATAAAACCATGTGTTGGAGCAACATGCCCTATCTATGTTGCCATCCAGAAGATGCTTTTGTCAACAAAAGCTCTCGCTTATTTTAGCAAAAGTTGATGTCAAGCCGCATTCTGCTTTTGTTAAAGCAGAATGTGGCCCAGCTGGCTGCCGTTCAGTCACTTGTAAACAAACGATGCATTAAAAACTAAATCTGACACGGAAATCCTGAACTGCTTGAACCCATAAAACAACCAATCTTTTAAGATTACTCACACTTACACTGTCATTCCAAGAAAACATCACTAGTATCAATTTTACAATTCTAAAACAGTTTGCGTATCTCATATGTTCATTGTATTCCCAGTTAAATATAGTTTCTTCACAGTCTTTTTAAATGTTTACAGTATTTGCACTTTACCAATGTCAGAACATGATACCAGAACACTGATTTATTGTTAAATAACCCAGGTTTGTTCTTTAATCTCTGCTRCACACAGATTGGGTCGTCTCTTTTTGCCAGTTCAGAGGGTTCTGGTCTGTTTATCGGGCTGGCTGGGACCGGAGCTGCAGGCGGCATCGCTGTCGCAGGATTTGAATGGAATGTGAGTGCTTCAAATACAGCACACGCTCATCAAAACGTCATTTGTTCTGACTGGTCTATTTATAACGACGAGACATATAAACTGTGGAATGAAGCAGGCCGAGTTGTGACACTTAAAGTAAAGGCGACGTGTATCTTAAAAAAAATAATCTTCCTTTTGTGCCTGGAAAAAAATTTAAAGTTTACGTAGCTTTTCTGATACATGATGCCTGGTTTCCTTTTTAAAAAACTCCTTAAAATGAGTTGGACTTTTTCTTTTCTTTCTTGATTTTTCTTTTTTCTGTTACCTTTCATTTTATTTGTGTTGTATTATTATTTGTTGTATGTATAGC